GGAAGTAACTATATAAATAATTACATTAAATATAAATTCACTGGATACTCCTACTAAAAGGCAGAGATTGCTACTTTGGATAAAAACAAGACTCAACCATATACTCTCTGTAAGAAACACTTTCAATATAATGACACAAATCAATTGAAAGTATGGAAAACCAGGGTTACACTGCACCCCAACCAAAATTGCATCTTGGTTTCAGGGCAGGTCAGTCTCTGTTTACACTTTAAGGAAAATACATTCCTGTGTTAGCTTTTGGTCACTGTGCCAGAAGACCTGAGATAATTTAAATAAGGAAAGATTTAGTTTCAGTCTATGGTTACTTGGCCTTGTTGCTTTGAGCCTGTGATGGTAAGTACATCATGGGAAGAGCACATGGTAGAGGAAGATGCTTACTTCATGGCAACCAGGAAACAAGAGAGGACGGGGAGAGAGAGAAAGAGAGTCAGGGCCTGGGGGCCCAAGATCCCTTTCAAGGGAATTCTCCTAATGACCTAACTTCCTTCCTCTAGGCTCCACTTCTGAAAGATTTCATCACTTCCCAAAAAGCCATAGACTGGCACCCAAGCCTTCAACACATGGGCTTTTGAAGGAACACCCACATTCAAACTACAGCAATTCTTAAGTCTATTTTCAGGGCTGAGGTTAAGATTAAACTCTCAGGGGAACCTCTTAGATTCTCTCATATGCAGTTTCTGTCATTCAACCAAAAAATAATAGACGTGAAGAGATATAGGCTCATGTGACCAATAGACACGAGGAAAATGAGACCTATCTATACATTCTATAAATGAAAATCACAATATATGAAATTAAGAATCCAAAGGACACATTAAATAGCAACTTGTCTATGGTAAGGAAGGATAACGAGACCAAAGATTAAAAGAAAATATTTGTACAGAAGCAAAGTAAAGAAAATGGAACTTTAAAAATAGAGCAGTGTGTATTCTAACTTAATTTCTTCCGGGGAACTTAATGGTGGAAGGAGTTCTCATCACTTGGACATTTCTATGTTTCTGGCTTTATGTTATTTGATAACATTTGGGATTGTTATCAAATGGATTATCTTGAATGATGTTGCTGTGCAGACTCTGGGAATAAAATTAGAGTCAGAAGCAAGTGCTTGGCCTCAAGTTGCTACATGGTCTTATATTTAATTAATGTCTTGCTCTGTTCCTTCTCAAAGCCTACTCTGGTCTAAGAGGGAGAGCAAAGACACTAAGGTGAGTTTGGAGAAGTGTGGCCACTCTAAGGCAATCTGCTCGTGGTCTGCTTCTCCTGGGGGCTGCTCCGACCCTATGAATTGTAAACTTGGCTGCTATTAACTCTGAAGAGTTAAAAGAACAAGAACTTGACCTATGGGCAAAGAAAATTTTGCTGAAATTTCTGTCAACATTTTCACTCTCATTGAGGAAGTCCTGGGAGAAATCTTCCATGTTTCTTTTCCTGGAAGAGTAGCTAAATATGATGGGTGGGAACTTTGTTAAAAGTAGAAGAGAAAAAGATGTTTGATCAGTCAAAGATGTTCTTTGTAGAAAGACACAACTAATAAGAGCAGAAGGATGTTATAATTTTCAAGTCACCTAGTGGATTAAAACAATAATAAACAACTGATAAAACTAGACATAAAACTATGATGACAAAGGAAGATAGGTACTTAAGGTCTGAAAGATCAAGAGGGTACATCCTATACCCTCCCCCTGAATTTCTAGGTGTAGGGCAGTTAGACACTACATACCTTCTAAGGTAGGCAAGTGCTCCTGTAAAAAGAAAATAAAGGCCAGGCACTGGTGGCTCACACCTGTAATCCAGGCTACTCAGGAGGCAGAGATCAGGAGGATCAAGGTTTGAAGCCAGGCTGGGCAAATAGTTCACGAGACCCTATCTCAAAAAAACCCAGCATAAAAAAAGGAGGTGCTAGTAGAGTGGCTCAAGGTGTAAGCTCTGAGTTGAAGCCCCAGCACTGAAAAAAAAAAAAAAAAAGATAAAGAAAATAAAAGATGAAGGGAAAGAAAGAGGTTGAGAAGAGAAAGGAGGGACAAAAATCTAATTTAAACTCAAACTCTAATTCTAGCAAATACAAGGGATGGGAGAAATGATAAACCAAACCCATGGTGTGGAAAATTCTACAGGATAAATGATTGATTTTTTTCCATTTAAATATGTGGCAATAAATAAAAGAGAAATTCTAATAGATTAAAAGAAATTTGAGATCCAAATCAATCAAACCAATGTATGGAGCCTGTTGGATCTTTTTATTTTTTTGGTGGGGGGAAGGGCATGTAAAACCACACTTTTGAGGCAGGAAAGGAAATAAGTATAAATTACTGTAAATAATATTAGGGATTTTTTTTTTGCAGTCCTGAGATCACAGCCAGGACCTCAGGCATGCTAGGCATTGCCTCTCTACCACATGCCCAGCTCTTTAAGAAATAACTTTAATTTAGTTTGGTTTTGTATGTTTTGAAAAATACCAGTGTTAAAGCATTTAATAAGGTGAAACTGTATAAGACTAGGATTTGCTTTTATGTATTCTTGCCAAAAATATGGGAAGAGATAGATAAAACAAGAGTGGAAGGATATTGATAATTGTTGAAATTCAGACATGGGTGTATTAAGTCATTTTCTACTATCTTTAATTTTGTGACTCTGAAAATTTCTGAGACCTAAAGTTAAAACCAAGTGGATGCAATGCTACGGTGTCTCACAAGTTCCAGAAGGATTTTCTGGATCCCCTTACCCAGGTTCAGTGAGTCCAATTGAGCTTCCGGTCTCTAACCTGTGAGAAGCCCCAGGCTGGCATCAGCCTGACCTCTGCTCTTTTGTTCTTACGTTTTCTCTGCTCTGACCTCTTGTCTGAAGCAAGGTCACGCAGGTCCCACTGTACCCTGGGAAGTACCATCCATCGTATTTTCTGCCTCAGTTCAAAACGCAACCTCTAGGACAATTAGCCCAGAAATCTTTACTTTGAAAAATAAAACAACTCTTTGAATTCAATTTAGCTCAGATCTTTGTGATTATGTTCAATTGGCAGAATACCAGAGGGCAGACTGTCACCTGCACCCATCCTGCCACTGCAAGAATCAGGTCAGGTAATAGAAGGACAGAAAAGCTGAATAAAGGGAAGAGATTGTGAACATAATGAAAATTATGCATGCTCCCCAGCTAAGGTCAATTATCCAGAGTATAAAAATGTTAACAATTTTGAGAAAGTGGGATTAAGTGTTGGAGCCAGGTCCCTAAGAGAACAAAATAAAGACCATACATACCAAGGTAGAATTCATTTCAGGAAGAGAGATGATTTATTTTTCTGTACATTGGCAGAAAGAAAGAAATGGACAAAAGAAACTAGAGTCAAGTTAAGATGCACCTGAAGGGGCTGAGGTGGCATTTCTTTAGTGGGAGAAATCTTTGACATACAAAGACACAGAGATGGAGAGAAGGGAAAGGGGGTTTAGTGTCCAGGCATGCCCAGAGCTGGACACACAGCAGTGGAATGAAGGCTCATCCAGATGTACTTCCATGATGGCCCAGGGGCTGGTAGGTGCTCAGGTTTCAAGTAAGCCTCTGAGTACCTCTCTATGCTGTGTAGCCAGCATGGAGAGGAAGGACCAGGTCCACTGAAAATAGCTCCTCCTATATATTATAGAGAAGCTCAGGAGAGCAGGTCTCAAAAGGTGGTGGTAGGGCTATCATCAAGAGAAGTTCTTGTTCAGAGCCACAGTCCTTCTTCTTCCTTCTGCCACCTACTGTATGCCTGGCAAAAGTTTCTGATAAGCATCCTCACTTGAGTCTGAGTCAGATGCAGTGCCTAGAAATCCCTGAAGGTAGTGAGGAATCCCTATAGGACCTTTCCTCTGCCTAAGTCACGTATGCTGGCCTTGTTCCACAACTGATCCACAAACTTCCTTTTGTCCTCTAACCAGGGAGAAAATAACTTTCATGTCGACGTAATAATGCTAGAGCTGCAGTTCCTTAGAAAAACTATGACCAGCCTGTTCAGTTATTTTTTAAGTTTATTAATTGTACCGACACATTTATTGGGGTTTTAAACATATAGACCAGGTATTTTCTCAAATGTTTACACTTACTGATAGTTCAGTATACACACAATTCAAGAATAACTCCAGCTGTTTTGATAGATATATTTTCATTATACTCATGCAGGAGCAAGAAATCTGAAGAGAACTAGTGTTTCCCAAAGTATTTTCCCACAGAAATCAAAGCCATGATAGATTTGATTTAACACCAAATATACATGAGATATTTAAAAGTATTTCTGTTCCTCAAATGTGTCTCCTCCTTCCCCAGATTATGTTGCTATCTACTTACTGATAATTTTTATTTAAATTCAATATCGACTTTTAAGATGGTCTACAATTGTAAAGACACGATTACTTGTGCAAGGAGTAATTCTGGTTTTTTGCACTGATATCCTTAATTACTGTAAGTATATCTTATTAGTTGCTTCAATCTACAGAACTGGATAAAGCCCAGGGGAAAATCCCAGCTCAATGATCTCAAAGCAAAATTTGAAAGAAAAAGGTTATAAATATATGAGAGGTTAAAAGAAGTATTAAGAAAGATACAAGTAATGCTTTGAGTAGTCTTGTGGAGAAACAGAAAGAGGCCCCCGAGTATGAAGGAACATAAAACCAGGAGTAAAAAGGTTGGTTTTATTTTTTCTCTATCTAGCCACTCATTTATGAGAGCCAGAGCAAGAGAGCAAACGTCAATCCATCTAATACACTACTGGAACGGGTACTGTCTGAGATGCCTTGAGTTCCAGTGGTTGGTGATTATGTGTTCCAGCACCTCACTGATATGCATCATCTCATCATTTGTACCCATGGGAGGATCTCGATAAACAGATCGCAAAGAACTCCTGGTAACTCTTGCCTTTGGCAACTAATTATCTGAATACACAGTATTTCCTGGGAGTTCCACTGAAGAAGGTCTTTTTGACTTCTTAAGAAGTTATAGGTAAAGTATTTTGGGTTGAGGAAATGAAATATGTCAGGGGTTGTTTGAGCAACTGACTTTCTTTGCTTGCTCGAGGTCCACACTTGGTTTGCATTTCACCTTTGAGCAGATGGCCTGCTGAAAGTTGTGGCTGACCACCACGTACAGCAACAGGTTACCAAACGTGTTGAGGGCAGCTAACGGCCTAGAGATGATGTAAGCTTCGTGGATGTGATTCTCGATGGAGCAGCTGAGAGAGAGCAGGCGAGATTCAATACGAATGACCCTCAAGATATGGAACGGTAGGAAACACACATAAAACATAAGGAGTAGCAGAATGGTTAGCCTTCGAGCTTTCTGCTTCAGGCAGCTGTGAGTCTGAGGCCCATGGGTGAGGGTGTTGATAATCGTTGTGTAGCAAAGTGTCACTATCACCAAGGGGAGGCAGAAAGTGGTGGCAGTCAAAATTAGATTGTACCATTTGATAGTCATGAGGTCATCTGAGCTGGTGAGATCCAGACAGGCGGATCTATTGGTCCTGGTGGTTGATGTGATCAGGAAGGTCATGGGTATGACAGCAACCAGTGAAACAATCCACACCACAGCGCAGGCTACCACCGACCATCGAATTTTGTGGATGGAAAAGCAGCTCATCGGGTGAATGATGACAAGGTAGCGGAAGATGCTGAAACAGGTGAGGAAGAGGATGCTGCTGTACAGGTTAAAGTGGAAGCCAAAGCGGATGAACTTGCACATGAAATCCCCAAAGATCCAGTTCTCGCCACTGGCATAATAGTGAATCAGGAAAGGAAGGCTGGTCAGATACAGCAGGTCTGTCCAGGCCAGGTTCACCATGATGATGGTGCTGCTTTTCCAAGGCCGCATTTTGAAAATATAAGTGGAAATTGCTACTGCGTTCCCCGGGAAACCCACAAGGAAGATAATGCTGTAAACCACGGGAAGGTAGTGTACTCTCAGTGACATTTTCTCATCAGTGCAGTTTCCAAAAGCAGCTGCATAATCGGTGAAATCAGAAGCATTTGCTAAAATATCTAGTGTTTCATTCATGGTTGCCTCCTTTCATCTTGCAAGGAAACAAGAAAATTCTAGGAGTCCAATGAGGAGTAACTAGCTGATCAAGGAAAACAGAAAACATTAATGATAGAGGAGTGAAAACAACAATCAACTTTTAAATGAAAATTACTCTAACATCCTAAATTTGCCATTTTTTTCTCTTTAGTCTCAAAAGAGACCCTGTGGAAAAGAGGTTGAATTTCTAAGAAAATGACTCTGAAGCACGTAATTATGACATCCAATAATAATATAAATGTTAAATTGTCATGAGAATTAAAATGAAAGATCGGGAGAGGAAGTCACATGTAGCTATGGAAAACAAGGTGCTGAGCCTTCTGTTCAGGAAGCATAGCTATCAGTATCATCTCCGCCGACGTAACAACAGAGACCGAATCAAGCCAATGCAGGTCCCCATCCTGCTACTCCCAACTCCACACAATGCTGTCAAGTGCTTATCACCTCTGCTTTACCAAAGATGCTACACAGAGAGAGGTTTTGCAGCCTGTCCCTGGTATCACACCTAGTGGCTTAGCTGTGATCCAAACCCATTTGTCTAATTAGAAACCATTCTCTTTATACCTTATCTGTCTGCCCTGCCTCTCAGTCTGTGTCTTGTTGACTTTCACCAGGATTACTGTAAATAATGAGGAAATGGGAAGTGTGAAGACCTGAATACTGTGAAATTTTTAAATATATGTTTTATGCATGGCAGTACTGTATGTGTGGTAGATTTAATTTAGAATTGCATCTCTTCCAACCCATTTTAATAGCTAATATAATTTGTTCCTGTAGGAGTGTGTGTGTGTGTGTGTGTGTGTGTGTGTGTGTGTGTGTGTTTATCAGCAGTATAAGACAGCAGTTAAGAGCTTGGGTCTTAACCAAAGGCAGCTGGACCAATCCTGAGGCTCAGTTTAGCCATTTAGTAATTGTGGGTCCCTAAGCTGGTTGCTTCAGCTCTCTAGATCTGGGAGGGGTGCGATTTTAATTTCCTTCTTTTGGCTTCTCAGTCTTTTCTAAAATTTTGACAGTGAATTTCTGCACAGAGTAAAGCATGGAGATTATTTAGAAGAAGTGTAACTTATAATTGGCCTTTTATTTGGATGTAAATAGCTGTTAGTAAAATACATCCACTTACACATTTCTGGAGAACCCACTGTGTATTAATTAGGCACTCTGCCAGCTCCTAGAGATATAAAATGAGGAACATGCACAGATGTATGTGCCACTATCAAAGTCTACTGGGAGAGATGGACACAGAAAATTATTGTGACAAAATATAACCCTACCTCATGAAACTGTCAGCATATTTTAAAATAGCAACAAAACACTGGGTATACACTCAGGCATGTAATAATTGCTCAATAAAGATTAGTTAGTGATTAGGCAGTTAGTCATTTAGTAGATGAAGAGCACAAGTTTATGGCGATCACAAAGAAGAGCTACCTGGAGAATAAGAAGGGATGGAAAAGAAGGTCGTTGAGGAGGGAACATTTAAGCTGAACTTAACAAGAGGTAGGATTTTTCTAACTGAGGAAGAATGAAAGGTATTCTGTGCAAGGGGTAACAGCATGTGCAAAGGCACTGAGACATAACAGAGTCCAGAGTCCAGGAGATCCAGGACCTATGTACTCCCAGCAAGGCTGCTATGTTAGGGAGTTTTAGGAGATGAAACTGGAAAGAAAAACACAGCTAATTAAATAATAACCATGCTTCCTGTGTAGAAAACACTACTCTAAGTGTCTTCACATATAAATTCATTTAGTCATCACACCAAGTAGTGAGGTATTACTGTGACTGATGCCATTTTACAGAGGAGAAAGTTGAGACATGGAGAAGGCAGTGACATGTTCAAGTGACACTGCCAGTTAGTGGTGACCCAGGATGCAGACTAGGGCAGGTTGGTTGCAGGACTGGGCTGCCTCTCCTAATGACTAGGCAAGAAGGAAACCCTACAGAAAAAGAGGAAATCCTAAACATTCTATAACAGTAAAGATGAGAGGGATATTATAACAAAAAACTCAGTAATTCAAATTTTGTAACCACATGGCCCAGGGCTAAATGCCAACGTAGGTCGAACCTACCTCTTTGGGTTGATTCATTGATTCGATGAGTTAAATCACTTAAATCTGGAGCCTGGCTCCTGGTAAGTGCTATTTCAGTGTTTGCCACTATTGTCACTATTATGCGATCTTAAATCTACACCATCTAGCATTTCCTCAGAGTTGTGTGAAGGTATATTTCAGACCAGCCCGACCTAACAAATCAAAAATTGGTATATTCCTCCCCTGTTGGCTGGCCTTAAGTAGACTCCAGACCTCATTCAGCCAGGGTGAGGTGGGTATGTTTACAGATTAATGACTCTTATTCTGTATATACTGGGGAAAGAATAGCTATGGGACATGGAAGGACATGGAACTTGTCTTTGTGGCTGCTGGGACCCTCAGGCAGGGGGTGGAGAGGCTTGAGCTACCTGGACCCTGAATTACTGATGGAAAATGAGAATTTCTCCTTGTCTAGTTAACTTAGTCTAACCGGAAGTGCTATCTACAGAGCCTTCACCTGCTGGACATTGGAAATAGCAAGAGTCAGAGCCCTACTGACCAGCAACAGTGCTCTGAGCCCAGGAAGTCACTGAGAGCAGTCTTCTCTGGCCCAATGCCTCAAATGGGCTCATATATCATAAAGATCAGGCAGCAACCTAAACCTGAAAGGAAATGGTCACAATCATGTCCTCCCTGAAGTCCCTGGTTCCAGAAGTGAGTTCTTAGGATGTCAAGAGGCCACCAACTTTTGTGATTTCTGGAGCAAAAATGTTAAGATTACTTTAGTAACACCCAAAAGAATCTTCCAGAATATCTCATTCTAATTAAGACTTAGTTCAACAGAAAAGCAAGAAGGAGTGAAGAGGAAAGAATTCCAGAGTGAGCTGTTTATCTACCAATTCCTTGAAAGTAGAAACAGAAGTCACCTCATACCTATTCCAGGGGATGATACACAGAAGGGGCTCAATAAATATTTGCTGAATGCATTAAAGAACAATCAGTAACATCAGCAAAACTTATCCTGTGCCAAAGGGAAAGGGAGCAGTAACTATTACAGTACACACACACAAGCAATGTTTGGTTCTTTAATAACTTAAAGTAAGGAACAAAACTTACAGCTCCTATCATTGCCCAAAAAGCCCATAGCCATGTTATGGGGACATTTTAAACAATAATCATACCAGGAAAAAGCAAGTTGTAGGTAGAAACAACCACCTTAATGTTTTGAGAAACAACAGTTCAAAGTAGAATTTAGTAGGGTCTAATTATAAGGGAATGGGGACTAAAAATTGAAGTACTCTTCCATAAACCTTACCAAAATATGGCATGAGTTTACAAAACATTTCTTATGTTAAAAAAAAAAAAAAAACAGCACATAAAAACGAGGCCGGGCAGTGAGCAAGGTAGAGGGAGAGACAGTTTCTTTCCTCCCTTGTCCCAGGGTCCTGTGCAATTCATTGCCAAAGTCAGAGTGCCAGATGGGCCACAAACAAATCAGCTAAACTCAGAGGACATTTAAAAATGACATGTCATTTTTAAATACCCAAGTGGTATTTCTCAGGTTCTTAAACCTGAGCAGGGTACAGACCACCGGGAACTAATGGATTCTTTACAAACTAGAAATTCTGATGCAGTAAGTGTCAACATTACCAAATATAAAAGTGCAAACCACAAGAACAAAACAAATGCCAAAGATATGAGACAATTTTGTGGAAGAAAAACCCCATAATGTTAGTCTCTAATTTTTTTTTCTGAAATTTGGAAGAGATTTGTTCGAGGCAGGTTGCAAGATGTCAGTGTTTTGGGGAAGGCACAGTTTGAGGGCCACTGTCGCCCCTCATCCATGACCCTCACAGATGGGGATTGTGAGATTTCATGAGTAAAGGAGGGAGTGTGGAAAAAGTAGACCATACAGAGCACACACACACACATTCACAAATAAATAAAATGTTTACATAGTTTTAAAAAGGCAGGATCAGAAATGGTTTTAACTCTAAAGACTGTTAAAACTCAAGACTCTGGTGGAACCCAAAGCTATGATTTTAGCTATTTGATCTTTGGGAGAATCAAATAAAATCTATGAGCACTCTCCTCATAAAAATGCATTTATGGGACCCCAAAATTTTATAAGTAGTTTGGAGGCACAGTGAAATTCCCAAGCTAATTCGCTAAGTCCATAGCAATGAAATAATAAAGGATTGACAAGACAGACTTTTCAGGGGGAAAGTTTTTTTGATTGCTTCTTGGAGTGGGGATCACTGGAAGGCAAAAATGAACTCTCTGCTTCTCCCCAAAAGTAGCCTTCGCCCCCTCCCCCAAAGACCATACACGTGGAGGTGACAAAGTACCCCAAAATGAGCCCCGGCCCCACTTCAGAATCCAGGGTACACCTGCTGCCTCCAAGAGAAGACGCTGCCTCGGGGAGGCGCCCCGGACAGCCTGGGATCCCCGCACCCGCGTCCTGCCCGGCTCCCCACGACGCGCGGCTCACCTGGCAGCCCCCGCGCTGCGAACGTGCGTCCCGCCAGGCGCTGGCAGCCCGGCTGCAGCGCGAGGTCCGCCGCGTCCCCGGAGCCCTGGCACCGCCCCGGCCCCTCCCATCCGTGCCCCGCCTGCACGCGAGGTCCCGGGTCCCCGCCCCAGTAGACTGCAGGCTTTCTGGTTCACTATCCAGGGGACACAGGGACAGCAGTTTCCACTCTCTGTTCCGGACCCTACGGTGGCATCTGCAGAGGTTCAAACAGCCTGGCAGGACTCAGCTTGTCCCAGGAGGGTTGCTGTCCTGCCGTCTGGGTCCACAAATACCACAGTTTAGGGCTTCTTCTTAAGCTTGGGATGGGAGTAATTTAAGGCAGCGCTGTCTTTCCCAGGTTCCCGAGGACAGCGCTGCCCTCCAGGCCCCGCAAGGCGGACCTAGAGTACTGTAGAGTGTTTGCATCGCACTGAAAGAGCTTTTCCCTGGAT